ACATCGAATGTGCGTGGTCCAAAAGGTCGTGAGGAAGAGAACTGAAAAGAGCTGGTTATTTGTTTCTGTCCAAGCAGCAGCCGCTGCAGCATTGGCAGCGCCTGTGGGACGACGTTGGCCGTCGAGTACGGCAAGCATTTTCGGCTTGTAGCGGCCGATGGCCATGCGCATCTTGGGCTCCCACTCGCGGTAGTTGGAGTAGCCTTCGCATTTGCCGACATTTTCCAACGTGCGGTCGAATGCCGAGGAAGATGATTCAGCCATTGTCAGCCAGTTCTCCACACAAGCTCAGAAGGTTGCAGGAGAATGATGCCGTGAACGCCCCGAGTATCTGAGAGACTCGACGCGCAGAAACGGTGCCGTAAGTTTGATGTGCACACCCGTATGTGTACGACCCCGTATTTTGTACGTCGTAGATTGCAACCCGGAAGCCATCAACCGTTGTCCGACGGAACATTTCAGTATCCGCTCAGACTGTATGCTGTGCTCTGAGAAGGCACAGGCTCAACCGACCACAGACGGCGAGACTGCGGTTGTGTGACGCCGAGGGTGCCAGCTCCGGCCACGTCTTGCAGGCACACCGGTCAGATGTACTGCGCCGACTAGTATACTGCTATGTGAGTGCAGTGTAAATCCTCAATCTGCACACGTACCAGAAACCGTATACGTGAAAGATATCTTGGACCAACCACGCCTGGGCGTAGTTGTTGTGACGTCGGCACGTAGTATGTGCGTCTGTATGGGTGAGACTGCAGCAATGGATGCTGGCCAGCCTAGGTCAGATCCTCAACCTAGTCACGTACTGAGGCTGCACTCTGCACGTGTAAGATGTATTGAACAAACCTACCAATTTGGTTGTTGGTGACACACGCAGAACCTTGTGAAAGGCACTCTGCACACGACCAACCGTAACAAACTGTTTGCACAGCTCTATTCGCCGACCGAAATCAACGCCTAGAAATTATGCCCCCGAATGCTCTACACGAACAGTAGCGTACCAAATGTGCAGCAGCGAACGCCAGGTGATCAGTCTGGGCCCAGTAAGCAAGCGGGTTGACTAAGCGCAGAACGTCCAGCAGAAGCTAACTCCAGCAGAAGAAGGATCTCCCCATAGAATCGCAGAAGACGATGTGTGTGTGTGTGCACGCCACAATACTCGACGACAGCAGCAGCAGGAGTCGCAGTCGCCGCAGACCTCCACTTACTCACAGTCGAGGCTTCAAAACATCTTGTGGATATCGTCTGAGATACCCTTGACAAGTGGGCAAGGCTGTGCCTCTCGAAGTTACTCGAGATGGTTGGCACCGCGAGTGATTGAAGACCAGAAGAAGTAGGAGTACTTGTTGTGCTGTGTAGAGACGTGAAGATATGTTGGAACACTGGCGCTCAGTTGGCCAACACACGCAGATAGATCCACAGAGAACGCAGAAGTCCAGATGGCGGCAGTTCCTAGAGGTTACCAGGAAAGCTAAGAGCCATGACTATCCAGAGAAGTCCATGCGAGAGATTCATGCGAGAGTGAGAGACACGCGATCCCTCGAGCAGAGAATGCTACAGCAGTATTTCCTCCGCATGCAGATGCGTTATGTATGAACCGAAACATGCAGTATCTACGATGCATGATCTACGATAGAGAGCAACGCTACTGAACATTGACTAGTACAGGACAAGCCAATATTTCCATAACATGTAGCAATGCCAAGGTCGGGCCTTCCTAACACGCTTGTCCTGGCGTTTCGTTGTTTCGCAGGACCGACAGGAGCGGTTGATCGCGAAGCGGCGGGCGAGGAGAATCGTTCGTGTTCTGTACTACGCCATGAAGGTGGTCGGGGTGGCGGCATGCGTCTACACCTCGGGGCTCAACGCGACACTCGTCTACATGAGGCCGGACTTTGGACGTGAGCTTCTCTCGTGTCCTCCTTGTCCGTGCGGGATTGTGTGGTGTACCGTAGATGTTTGTTTTTTTTTTCGTGCATGGATGTTTGTGTATAACCGTGTGCCGTTGAGCGCAGCCTGCTTGTTTGTCAACCTTCACGATGATTGAACATTGCGGGAGCTGCTGGGGGCTCTGGGAAGAGAGGCCAGCGCACCTCGTGTTTTCGTCGCTCATGCTGCTCTCAAAAGGGGAGAACAATCTGCTTGGTGTGCGATAGTCCGGAGCGCTGCTATTCCTGCTACGTGCTGCTAGTGTTGCCCTTACGCATTTTCCCTCGTGAAATCTTGCAGCACGGCCGGTCGCAACCCTCTCACCGCTAAGCTATTCGCGACAACATAACGAAACACTTTCGAGGTGCCGTCCGTTTTGGTTCTGTGATCAACCTGTCGCGTTGTGCCTGTTCCGTTGCGCCAGTCCAAGACAGGCTCGTCAGGTCCTACCTGGTTTTGTTCGGCGTTGGCGGCGTGCTTGCGGAGCTCGACACCCCTTTCGCCAAGGCCAACTTCAGAGCGCTGCAGAAGTGGTGGTTCAAGGCTCCCTTTTACGTGTTGTGAGTAATGGAAGCGGAGCGACAACTGGGGAAAGATTTTGGCTTCTGCTCGTAGCGATTCAGTGCCGTGAGAGGAGCTCACACAATCGTAACAGTCGCAGCAGAAATATTAAAGTATTGGGTACAAAACATTAATTGAGTCTGTCGTATCGATTTGTGCGGGACGCGCTTGTTCGGGGGTGTGCAGAGTTCAACTTGATCCCTTGACGACGAGAAGGGGGTTTTGCTGAGTCCTTCTCTCGGGAAGGCATGGATGGCACACATGCAACAGAGGTGTTCCACGTTGTGAACGATCGCTAGTCTTTGAGCTTCTCGGTAGACAGCGTGGGAGACCGTTTTGCGGGCGACGATGCCGCGATGGGGCGACGATAGATGATCTGACTTCGATCCCCACAAAATCAAGTTCGATCAACACACCTGCCTCCAACAAGATGTGTCTTCCTTTTTCCCATCTCACCCCCACCCCCGTGTCTCCATCATGAACCCGTGACTCTGTGTCCTACTCGAATATCTCTCAGCATGGCCTGGCTCTGCTTCGACGCCAGCCTCTCCCGGGGCACCGTGTGGTTTCCCCTCGAGCTAGCCTCGTTCGTCGCGCTCCAGACCATGGGCGCCATGGCCGTCGTTCTCAACGTCTGCCTGAGGGAGGTGCTGGAGAGAAGCGGGGCTTTCGGCAAGCGGCGAGGCAAGAAGTCCGCGTCGTCATCGTCACGACGGTTACGGCGAGGAGCGAGCGGGATCAACTCATCGTCCCGCGGATCAGGTAGGGGCGAGGGGGGGCGATTTCGGGCAAAATCAAGTGGTGG